ACCCTGTGACCCCAACCCTGACCCCAAAGCCCTAACCTTAACCCTGTGACACTAACTTTGACCCTAAACCTAATCCCAGCCTTAACCCTGTGACCCCAAAGCCCTAACCATAACCCCATGACCCTGACTCTGACCCTAAGGCTAATCCCAACCTTAACCCTAACTGTGACCTCAACCCTGACCCCAATCCCAACTCTAACCCTAACCATAACCCTGTGACCCTAACTCTGACCCTTACCCCAATCCTAAACCTAATCCCAACCTTAACCCTGTGACTCCAACCCTGACCCCAAACCTAACTGTAAACCTGACCCTAACCCTGACCCCAAAACTCTAACCCTAGCCTTAACCCTGTGACCCTGACTCTGACCCTAACCCTAAGGCTAATCCCAACCTGACCCTGACTGTAACCTCAACCCTGTTCCCAATCCCAACTCTAACCCTAACAACAACCCTGTGACCCTAACTGAGACCATAAGCCTAATCCCAACCTTAACCCTGTGACTCCAACCCTGACCCCAAACCTAACTGTAAACCTAACCCCAACCCTGACCCCAAAATCCTAACCATAACCCTGTGGCCCTAACCTTAAGCCTAAACCAACCTTAACCCTGTGACCCCAACCCTGACCCCAAAGCCCTAACCTTAACCCTGTGACCCTGACTCTGACCCTAACCCTAAGGCTAATCCCAACCTTAACCCTAACTGTGACCTCAACCCTGACCCCAATCCCAACTCTAACCCTAATCATAACCCTGTGACCCTAACTCTGACCCTTACCCCAATCCTAAACCTAATCCCAACCTTAACCCTGTGACCCCAACCCTGACCCCAGACCTAACTGTAAACCTAACCCCAACCCTGACCCCAAAACTCTAACCCTAGCCTTAACCCTGTGACCCTGACTCTGACCCTTACCCCAATCCTAAACCTAATCCCAACCTTAACCCTGTGACTCCAACCCTGACCCCAAACCTAACTGTAAACCTAACCTCAACCCTGACCCCAAAATCCTAACCGTAACCCTGTGGCGCTAACCTTAAAACTAATCCAGCCTTAACCCTGTGACCCCAACCCTGACCCCAAAGCCCTAACCTTAACCATGTGACCCTGACTCTGACCCTAACCCTAAGGCTAATTCCAACCTTAACCCTAACTGTGACCCCAACCCTGACCCCAGTCCCAACTCTAACCCTAACCACAACCCTGTGACCCTAACTCTGATCCTAAGCCTAATCCCAACCTTAACCCTGTGACCCCAACCCTGACCCCAAACCAAACTGTCCCTGCAGCCATGAGATGGGGATGGGTTGCTTCCATCTGCTCCAGCAGCACACATTTGTTTTGCTGCCCTTGGTGGTCACTTCTCAGATTTGCAGCACTGAAAGCCGTGGCTCAGTGGGAAATACTGACGACAGGTGTGCAGTTGGACCTTGGAGGTCTGTTCCAAGCATGGAGATTTTTGTGATTCCGTGATTCTAAACCCCTGTACTCCTTTTCTAAGGCTTCGATGGGACCGTGCACATCTACGACTCACAGAGCTGGGATGGCAGCGGGTGTGAAGCACAGCCACTCTTTGTGCACAAAGGCCACTCGTTTGGAGAGCATCCCTTGGTGACGGCGCACACGTGGCACCCCCAGAAACCAAGAACTGTGCTGTCAGCAGCCACTGATGGCTCCTTGCACATCTGGGATTGGGTTCAGCCTCGTGGGAGCTGAGGGCAGGTGCTGCTTTGAGGCTTTCCTGCCTGTGCTGCGAGCGAGCTGTTTGCTTGGAGGTGTTGAGAAGAGCTGGGCCCAGCTGTTGTAACACAGCAGCAAGAATTCCAGCGGCGAATTTCTTGGGAATCCCTTTTGCTCTGCGCTCCCATGTTGGGATGTGTGTTTTCACTGCGTTGTTTGCTCTGTCCTCACGTTCTCCCCCCCCCAGCCGTCGTTCCGTTGTGTTCTGTTGGCCTTGTGAGGCTCAGAAGGAAAAAATAATTAAAAAAAAATGCAGCAAAGCTTTGAGTACAATGTGAGGAAATAGGCTGTCCTGTGGCATGCTGAACCTTCTGCCTTCCTGGCCCTGTTGCTGTTCCATCACGTGTGTGTGTGTGTGTGTGTGTGTGTGTGTGTGTGTCCGGAGCAGGAAGCCGCAATGGGAGGCAGCGTGCAGGAGGAGCAGCCCTTCCTGCTGTCAGTTTCACCCTCCCTCCCCCTCCCGAGCAGCAGCAGCACCCAGCTGGGAGGAGGCCTGGCTGCATTTTGTGGGGCTGCTGGCTACCAGTTCAACTCGAAATGCAATTTCCTGGGGCTGAGGAGGAGGAGCAGCTTGGATCTTGCGGTGCAAAGAGGTTCAATCATTCCGTGCTGCTTGTGACAAGCGACCCTTGTGCCGTTGTTCATCTGCCTCCTGCTGCTCTGTTTGCTCAGAGGGTGCCGTGGGGACAGGTGGGGACAGAGGGTGAGCTGTGGCCAAGGCCGTAAGGCAGCTGTGTGCTGGGAATGGGATGTACCGACCTGTGCTGTGTCATGGCAACAGCTGCTGGGCTGCGGGGGCTGAGCCGTGCTCCTGGGGAGGTGATCAGATGGAGGAGTGCAAGCTGCAGCTCAAGGTCTGAGCAGCAGCACTCCTGCTTGTCTCTCTCACATCCCAGCAAAACCAGAGCAGCTCAGCTGTGGGGTGAGCACCCCGCTTTGCTCCCATCTCTCCCTTTGCTCTTCATATCTGCTGGGTTCAGAGGTCTGGCTTCAGAAATGGGGCAGGCTGGCAGCTTGGGAGTGGCTGTTCTTACAGCTGCAGGGGTGTTCCTTGAGCAGGATGGGGATCTGCAGGGTGATGGCTGCAGCCTTCCTCCTCCACGCTGCACAAAAGCAGCAGAGGCAAAGCGTGACCCCATTTCACGTCACAGCCGTGCTGGGAGTGCAGAGGGAAGCAAACCTGCTGCTCTTTGTAGGGAAATGGTGCTTAAGTAACAACGTGATTTCATCATCTAGGACTTCCCTTTTCGTGCTGGCTTTTTTTTTTCTCCCCCTCCAAATAATTCCAGCTTGGAGAAGGCTGAAGGCACCCAGAACACGAAGTGCTCACAGCTGGGTGCATGCAGAGGGATCTCCTTTGGGCCACACAGAGCACACACAGGGGTGCCCTGAGAGCAGCCTTGCCATAGGGCAGCAGTGGGGCTGCTGCTCCCCACGTGTCTCTGTTCTGCTCACCCCATGCAGGGACGCTGCTGCAGAGCCCATAGAGCTGATGCGTGCAGTTCTGCACTCAGAAGGTTGGTTTGCTGCTGGCTGTGCTGTTCCCTGCTGTTCCTCCACGGGGAGAAGACGGATGCAGGCACTGCCATCCCAGCAACGCAGCCGGCCCTCAGCTCTGCTGCAGCATCTTCAGCTCCCAGCCATCCTGCAGAGCTTTTCATGCACCGAGAGCAGTGCAAATGGCTTTGGCTGCCAGAGAGCAGCAAGCAGAATGTTAGCACTGCCTGGCCTTGCACTTTATTCCCAACCTCCTGCCTGGAGCACTCAGCTTTGGAGCAGATCCCACAGGAGCATCCGTGTGCCCGAGGGAAGGTCAGCACTGCGGGCTGCAACGAGGGGACCTTTGGTGCTGCAGCATCGATTTGGGACTGTTTTCCTGCAATCAATGTTTGGGGACGTGGAACCATGGCAGCACTGAGAGCTGGAGAGCAAAGCAAATGTCAACACGGCCTCCCAAAATGGGGCCTGGGGAGGGGAAAGGGGGGAGGAGAGGTGGGTAAGAGAAGCATGGGCACGCTGCGGGTTTGGTTTTGTGTGTGTGTGTTTGTGTTCAGAGATTAATAAACTAGAATAATTTATTTGACAGGACACAGAAACGTCACAGAGATGGTGGAGGAACCAAAGAAGCAGGTGTCAATGAACAGTACAAAGAAACCACTTTACAAAAGAGAAGTACCACGCCGCCCACCGGCCTGACCCCGAAATGGGGAGGGGAGGCAGCTCGGAACCTCCCCCCAAAACCCCCCTTTAGGTTGGGGCACAGGGCTGTCCCCAGGCTCTGCTCTCAGGGCGACACAATAAATAGTGGCAGTGGCCCCAGTGAGGGGCTGGGGGGACCCGGCTGTCCCTGCAACAGGGGGGATATGGGGTGGGTGGACCCTGATCCAGGAGGGAGGGGCATGGGGTGAAACATGGGGTAGGGTCCCCAGTGCTGGCAGCTGGGGGGGTTCCAGGGGTGTGGAAATGGATGCAGAGCAATGATAAACCCTGGGGGGGTGGGGAGGGGGTGCTGCAAAAAGGGCTTGGGGTGGGAGCTTTGGGATTTGGAATCCAGCTCTAGGTCCCTTCTGAACCCTACAGTTCTGTGATTTGGGGTGGGAGGGTGGGACGCAGGTGGGAGGTTTGGGGTGGGATGTTTGGGATTTGGGGGTGGGAGGTTGGGGATCTGGGGGTGGGAGATTGGGATTTAAAATGGGATGTTTGGGACAGGAGAATTGGGATTTGGGGGAGGATGTTTTGGGATTGGGGTGGGAGCTTTGGGATTTGGGGGTAGGAGGTTTGGGGTGGGAGATTTGGAATTTAGGGTAGAAGGTTTGGCATTAGGGTGAGATGTTTGAAATTTGGGGGTAGGAGGTTTGGGATTTAGGGTAGGAGGTTGGCATTTGTATGGGAAGTTTTGGATTTGAGGGTAGGAGGTATGGGGTGGAAAATGTGGGATTTGGGGTGGGAGCTTTGGAATTTGGGGGTACAAGGCTTGGAGTGAGAGGTTGGGATTTGGAGGTTGGAATTTGGATGGGAGCTTTGGGATGGGAACTTTGAGATTTGGGGGTGGGAGATTTGGGATTTGGAGGTTGGAATTTGGGTGGGAGGTTTAGGATTTGGGGGTGGGAAATTTGAGATGGGAGCTTTGGGATTTGGAGTAGGAGGTTTTGGGGTGGGAGGTTTGGGATTTGGGGTAGGAGGTTCTGGGTGGAAGCTTTGGGATTTGGGGTAGGAGGTTTGGGATTTGGGGGTGGGAACTTTGGAATCTGGGGTGGGAGCTTTGGGATTTGGGGCAGAAGGCGTGGGATTTGGGGTAGGAGTTTTGGGATCTTGGGTCTGGACAGGATTAGGGTTAGGATCCCAGCCCCAGGCAGCATCTGTGGGTCCAAGGTTGGTGCATCCCAAGGTGAGGGGGGACTCATGCAGTGAGGTGGTGAGCAGGAGGGGGGGATGGATGGGGGCCCTTTCCCATGAGCAGGCTGCCTAAAAAAAGTCCCCCCCCCAAGTTCTGCTGCATCCCCTCCCCTCTCCCCAGCATCGAGAGTGGACAATACAAAATGCATAAAAGAGCAGCTCCCAAGAAAGGGCCCGGAGCTTTAGGAAGGGAAAAGGGATGGAGGGGTGAAGGCTGATGGGGGTTGGGCTGAGCCTTGGGTCCCCCACCCCACCCCAAAAGGGATGAATGGGGACAACAGGGCACAGCTGGCAGGGTCTGATTGCTGCTGTGGCGATCGGGTGATCCGTAGGGTAGAAAACAAAACGAATCATCATCATACAAAAAAAAAAATAATAAGAGAAGAAGCCTCTAACGCATGGATGTGAGCAGGGTGGGCAGCTCCAGGGTCTGCTTATCTGTCGTTGAGTTGTGGGGAGTTGGTCCTTTCCTCCTCATCCTCCTTGTCGTCCTTCATCCCCTTAAGCCGCTGCCGGGCGAAGTCCTCGAACACGATGTCGTCGTCACTGGGGGAGAGGGGACAAAAACACACACAGACACACACAGGGAGAGGTTTTGTGGGGGGTTGGGGTGCTCAGGGGGTGAGTTTGGGGAGGGAGGGGGTCCTAAAGGTCTGTTGTCAGCAATGGGTTGCAAAGCGTTACTGCTGTGCACACCAAGAAGGGCCCCATTGGGTGAAGGGGTGTGAGTGGGAAAGACCCCAAAGCAGCAGAGGCAGCAGCAAAGCCACCCCAAAATCTATTCCTGCTCCAAGAGATCCCTGAAAAGCTCCCACTGCAGCTCCAAAGCTCCCCAAAGCAAAACCAAACAGCTCTGATCCTCCTCGTGCAGCACCAAAGCCACCCTATAATCTCATATTGCTGCACCGGGATCTCCAACAGCAGCCCCAAATCCTCCCCAAAACCTCCCCCTGCAGCCCCAAAATCTAC